CTGACCTCAATTGACTCATTATGTACATGATACATATTCCATAGTACATTCACTGTCTCCTGTTTATACATTAAACAACATAAAACAGTAAAGCGATTATATTGAAAACTCCAAGTTCCAGCGCAGTGATAAAAACAACCAGATATTATAGCAATAGCGGAAACCAAACTAAATTATATGACCAAGGAGGCAATATTCCCACATAAGTGCAAGGAGCCTTGACTGCATTATAAAGTATTAAGGCTCTACAATGACAGGTTGGATAACAAGAACCTTTCACACTAGAGATGCTATACCGATGATGATACTCTTCAAGACGCTAGTGCGCTCTAGAGTGGAGTACTGCTGCACAATGACAGCCCCTTTCAAAGCTGGAGAAATTGCTGACCTGGAGAGCGTGCAGAGATCCTTTACTGCTAGAATCTACTCAGTAAAACATCTAAACTACTGGGACCGACTAAAGAGCCTAAATCTGTATTCCCTAGAGCGCAGGCGGGAGAGATACATAATAATTTACACGTGGAAAATAGTAGAGGGGCTGGTCCCAAACCTGCACACAGAAATAACATCACATGAGACCAGAAGGCATGGCAGGATGTGCAGAATACCCCCGTTAAAAAGCAGAGGTGCAACAGGTACTCTGGGAGAGAACTATCAACATCAGAGGCCCGAGACTGTTCAACACGCTTCCACTACACATAAGGGACATAACTGGCCGACCCCTCACAGTGTTCAAGAGAGAACTTGATAAACACCTCCAAAGGATACCTGATCAACCAGGCTGTGACTCATACGTCAGACTGCGAGCAGCCGCGTCCAACAGCCTGGTTGACCAGTCCAGCAACCAGGAGGCCTGGTCGACGACCGGGCCGCGGGGACGCTAAGCCCCGGAAACACCTCAAGGTAAGGTACATGGCAACTATGTAATCGCATCCTCCAAAATTACCACCGTGAAGGATCATTACGAAGCCATTAAACTATCGACAACCACCACCACCACCTGTAATGTACCCACCTAGTTGTTAGTATTTCTTTTAAGAACATTTTGAATGCAAGATGTGTGTTTACACAGTTTTGTCATGTTATACGGGTTTGGGCACAGTTTCCCATGCGTAGGAAGGAAGGAACTATCTATAAGGAGAAAGCGCCCAGCCATTACGACTATATAGCACATGGAAGGGATCAGGTTAAGGTTTTGGGATGGGACGGGGAGAAAGAAATGGTGCCCAACCACTTGTGGACGGTCGAGGGATTGAACGCCGACCTGCATGAAGCGAGACCGTCGTTCTACCATTCAGCCCAAGTGGTTGGGCTTTTTCCCATGCGTAGTCATTCAAATGTTGGTCAACAAATCGATGGAAATAAACAAACCTTGACCACCTGCTTGATACCTGCTCAACCATGATTACAACCTAACCACCATGATTAGTCCCAGTAATTATACAATCATGGCTGCCTGGTTTAGTATTCGTGTTCGAATAATCGGCAAACTTTGCCAGCGTTTGGAAAAGGGAAGTTTTGTAACGGTTTTAATATTTTATTAATATTTGGTTATTATTATTATTAGTCTATTTGGGTCTTTGTTATATTTTATTACTTTGACTGACCAACTGCGTCAAGAGAAGGGGAGAGAGGATGAGGGAGAGGGAGGATGAGGGAGGATGAGGGAGGATGAGGGAGAGAGGATGAGGGAGAGGGAAAGAGAGAGGGAAAGAGTGGCAGATAAACGAAACGAGTAAAATAATAAAAGTACACACACACACACACACACACACACACACACACATACACCCAAACACATACACACACACACATATACACACACACACACGTGTGACCTATGACTCAAGAGAAACCAATAAATGAAGGAAGTTTGCCAGCGGCGTCAAGTTGGGGCTGGTCGACCCAACTTGTCGCTATAAGGCCACAACTTCTCCCAACACCACAAATGCTCACCAAATTCTTCACAAATGTTGCAGAAATGCTCAGAAATGGAGTAATACTTAAGAAATGTTCAAGAAATGCTCAGAAATAAAGCAATACTTAAGAAATGTTGGAGAAATGCTCAGAAATAGAGCAATACTTAAGAAATGTTCAAGAAATGCTCAGAAATACTTGAGAAAACCCGGAGAAATACTACAAAATACTGATAATTCTTGAGAACTGAATAAAATGTAAAAAAAAAAAAAAAAATCAGGAACACTGGAAATGAAATATTACGTAAATATTAGACAAATAACATAGTAATATTGGGAAAATATTAGAGAAATACTTTGGGATCAATATTTGAAATTTGGCAGAGAAGTAAATTAAACTGAATGCTTGGTGTAGTTAGGTGTAACAAGCAAACTGCGTTAGGTGTAGTTAGCTGTAGTTAGGTTAGATGTAGTTAGCTGTAGTTAGGTTAGATGTAGTTAGCTGTAGTTAGGTTAGATGTAGTTAGCTGTAGTTAGGTTAGATGTAGTTAGCTGTAGTTAGGTTAGATGTAGTTAGGGGTCACAAGCAAATTGCGTTCTTCCTTCTCCGCCTCCTGGAGAAGGAAGGGGAACAGGCGGGGACATACCAGGGGGGAAATAGGGGCTATGGGGGGGGGGGGGGTCGTTAGAAAATAGGGGGGAAGAGATGGGAAATGGCTGACAGTTAGGTTTGAGCAGGGGTCTCCAAACTTTTCAATGTAAGGGCCACATTATATATTTCCCATATTTATGCGGGCCGGAGGAATAAAAAATGAAATTGCTATTTTGTTTAACTAAGATAAAGGCATTGTCAAAGTACAGAGAAAAGAATATTGTACAGTGTTTGTGCTCCCTGAAACGGAAGCAGCGAAGCCTACTCGCCCTCCATCCCCACAATATACAGTTATACACAACTGATTGGTTGTAATGCACAACACATACCTACCAGTATTAGTATCTGTGCGTCACACTATCGAGAGAGAGGAAAACTGACTCGGGTTGAGCGCCACCAGTCAGCAGCCCCAGCTTTGAATAATTCTGCGATGCCATTCGTACGATAATTATTTTTTCAGGCCACCACACAGGGATTTGTTTGGAGGGCCGGATGAAATTATGTGGCGGGCCGGATGTGGCCCGCGGGCCATAGTTTGGAGACCCCTGGGTTAGAGGGTAGGTAGATTGGGGGGAGAAGGGAAGGTAGGAAAGAAGGGGAGATGAGAGGGGAGGGGGGTAGAGGTAAGGGGAGATAAGAGGGGAGGGGGCAGGAAAGGGGAAAAGAGGGGAAGAAAGGGAGGGAAGGAGGGAAAAGATGCAAGATGATGGGTGAAATGGGGGATTGGGGAAGAGAGAGAGACTACCCCGGGCACCACCGGGTACCTGGCCCCATAGTGCGCGCGCGCACACACACACATATTATATATATATATATATATATATATATATATATATATATATATATATATATATATATATATATATATATATATATGTGTGTGTGTGTGTGTGTGTGTGTGTGTGTGTGTGTGTGTGTGTGTGTTTCCTTCAATCTTCTAATATACTAGACATCTTACTAGTAAGAGAGGGTAACGAAGAGTCTAAATATATTTAAATAATAAATTAATTTAAAATTAAAAGCACCAATTAATTCACCTAAGTAAAGCCTGTAGCGAAGTCAATTATCAAACTACTTTCGAAATTCCATACTAAACAGCATAAATTATCTACACAGTGGCGGTAGACTTGTATATTAAGTAGATTTTTGATGGAGTCAAGTAGATTTGCCCAGATGACATATTCCAGTGATAATAATGAATAATAGATATAGATAAAACTCAAGATACAGATAAAACTCACGAGAAATACTCATTTACTTCACTGAAACGAGTCACGAAAAATTGTGTGTTCAACAGCGTCATAAATTTCCACAAATACAAAAAAAATATATACATTTCATAATAGCAACCCCCCCCCCCGGCCCTCTAAAAGCTAAAATCGCACTGTTTCGTCTTCCACTGGGTCCATATATATATATATATATATATATATATATATATATATATATATATATATATATATATATATATATATATATATATATATATATATATATATATAAAGTCTCAAAGACAGAAAAATAAACTTACCATAATGAAGTTCAAATTCTTAATAAAAGTTCTTCCTGCCCGTTACCCACAATTCCTTGACCATTTTATCACTTAATAAACCTCAAATTTTTGAAGCTCACATTCAGACAGTTCTAAAAATGTTGAATAGTATATCTTTTATAATACAACTATTCCATAACTTGGTTTGAATAACAAGCCAACAAATAAAAGGGAAAATATTCATGTTTGTAGGATGGAAGCTGCTGTAACAGAGATGTGAATAAAAACACTTTATGAATATTATGACTTTTTGTTCCCTCATTAACTCGAGTAGTCTAGAACCCAACTTCTCCGCCTACCACGAATAGAAATCATTCTCTTTATTTCCACATCCTCTCGATTATTTTACGTTCTTCCTCTTCCTAATGTGGCTTACGTGTGTAATTCCACATGATCCATTACTTATTTATGTTATATTATTCATCTTACACAAGAAGCATTATTCACACAGAAATCACAATAGCGTGACGCATTAAATGAACAAATCCACAAGGGCCGCGATGAGGGTTCGAACTTACCACTCGAACATGCCGCGGCCTAATCGACTAATGCAGCGTCTGGGATCCTCCCGGGTGTAATTTCGAACCCTCATCACGGCCCTTATGGATTTGTTCAAGTAGCATTATTATTTTCTCCTCATTGATGACCAGACCACACACTAGAAGTTGAAGGGACGACGACGTTTCGGTCCGTCCCTGACCATTCTCAAGTCTATTATGACAATCGACTTGAGAATGGTCCAAGACGGACCGAAACGTCGTCGTCCCTTCACCTTCTAGTGTGTGGTCTGGTCAATATTCTTCAGCCACGTTATTGTGACTCATCGCCTGCATTTTCTCCTCATTATTTCCCCCTCTTCCCCCACGAGCTCACCCTCTCCCGGCTCGTCAGTCATCTTGGCAGGACAAAATTACTGTCAGTGTACTCACCTCGTCTTCCAGGGAGACAGGGAACTGTGTCACGGGCCTGATGGCCATCTCCTGCAGACCCGTCTTCTTCCTGCGGGGTTAAAAAAAATGATAATACAAAAAGAGGTAATTTAAAATATATTCAAAATCCAGACAAGTAATTCTGAGAGCACGACGAAATATTTTTTATTCTGGAAAATTGTAAATGTTAAGACCTTTTTTTTTTAATATTAATGTGAGAGGAAGAGTTTTTCTTTCAAAAAAATCTTTATTTTCTATTGACGTATTATTTTAGTTATTTTTATTATGTTAACGTAGTTTTTAGTGATAATTTTCTGTATAAAAAATAAAACAATTTTTTTTTACATATACAGTAAACTGCGTGAGACCAATTAAGACTTTCATCTGGGAAGACTGAACACACAGGCGAGTCAGGGGGGATATTACAAGGCGCCATGTCAGTCGTTTGTCACGAAGGTGAGCGGACTGGGCGGAATATTTCTTAAGAGTAACACACACACACACACACACACAGACACACACACACACACACGGAGGAAGCAGCCCGTAACAGCTGTCTAATACACGCATTAATATAACTATATAAATGTGTGTCTATCAACCAATCAGGGCGTGAGCTGAGGTCACGTGACTCCCAAGGCGCTGTGAGGGCCTACCCCCTAGTTAAGAGGGAGCCCTCGCTAGCGTTTCAGATCTGGCACTTAAGGTCTGGCACTTAAGGTCTGGCACTTAAGGTCTGGCAACCCATCCTCCTGTACATAGACGTAATGGACTATTATATAGTAGAATTTGGTACTATTCACTTTTCAGTCCAGACCAAAAATATAAAGTTAAAAACCAACGTTAAATATTTCCTAGGGATAATATAGCACATATATATGTACTATATTAGGCCTAGGATGGCGTTTATTAGGCCTAGGAAGGTTAGTTTGGCTTTGCAACATCATTAAAAAGAACTTTTCCAGTTTTGTTCAAATTTAATAGTACAGATTTTGACTTTCTAATTACCTTTTACGTCAATATATGTACGATGGCCCACATAGTTACTGTGAATACTACATAAACAGCAGGATGGGTTGGATCTCTGGGAGTATGGACGTACACTAACCTATCCTAACCTATCCTATCCCAACCTATCCTAACGATGTCTGTAATTCATGTTTTTAATATTACATTATTTATTGGAATGAGCCAATTTATTAATTTGTAAAGATGTTTTTGGAAATAACGAAAATCACTGTTAGGCAAATCGGGCCTTGCATACTAAGCCAAGTAGTGTGGTTCTATTAGGTACGGCATACAAACACACACACACATTTATATATATATATATATATATATATATATATATATATATATATATATATATATAATCTATATGTCAAGCTTTGATATATGTATCAAGCTTTGTTACCCACTGAGTTTTTTGGAAGTTTGCCGTAGCAAAGCACGTCGTACATATTATAATTATATAAGCAGTGAAAAAATTCGCCCAAAGAATGTGTTATGTTTACCATATTTCTCTGGGTTTGAGAATATTATGAAGGCCTTGAAACTTTTTAATATATATGTATTGTTTAGCTACGAAAATACTGTTGGTAAGCTATTAGTTAGAAACAGCCCTCGTAGTGATAATTGTGTCATTTATAAAATGCCTTGTAAAGACTGTAATAAGTTCTATGTTGGGCAAACATCTAAAGATTTGAAATGTAGAATTTCACAACATAAATACTCTGTAAGACATGGCCAATTGTCTAATGCTTTGTTTGTTCATCTGTCAGAAGATGCTCACCAAATTGATTGGGAGATGACTTCTTCAATAACGAATTGTAAAAACACTTATAACAAACATAATTGAATCTGCTTTGATACAAATTACAAAAGAAAGTAATTTGAACATTAGCAGCGGTTTATATAACTTAAATCCATTTTTGATAGATCAATTAAAGGGCGATTTGAGTAGGATCATTGATACACATTTGTCTCACTAATTCATTGTAAATATTTACCATCTTATGCTATTATTATCCATGTGTGGACCTGTTGGTGGGTATGGATAGGAGGTGCATCGTATGGGCCAATATGCCTTCTGCAGTTCTTGTGTGGCTCATATTTATGTCCACCTAATTCCCATTCATTTGTCATTGTACCTCACCTCACTCCACCATTCTCTCCTGCCTATATATGTCCAATACTTGACCTGTAAATCACTCCTTCTGAAGATGTTTTAATATACGAAAGTACTTGAGGAAATTCCTGTTTCAGTTCTTCTTCCGTGGTCTGTCACTGTCACATTTTTAATCATGAGTTTATTTTTCCTGATTTACACACACACACACACAATACTATATATTTACTGTTTTACTGCCAGGTGAACAGAGGCGTCAGATGAAAGAACGTGTATATTTCTATCTCATCAAGGATTCGAACACGGGTCGCTGGACTGTGAATCGCGGACGCAGACCACCACTCGCGCACTTTACATTAATAACCTCAAAGCTGAATAACTGGAAACACTTGCTTCCTATAATCATATCCAAACTGAGGCGTCTACTAATCTACCCATAGCCTTAACTGAACACATCTACTCATCTACTTGATCGTCACGTACATATCTAAGATACGATTCATCCCTCCGTAATAAATGCAAGTTTCTCCCAAACTATAAAGGTACGAACCCAGTCAATCCGGCAAACTAATCCATTGACTAACTTTTAACCAGCGCGTCAATTTGAGGTATAAAACGTCGCATTTATAACGGAGTGGTAATGATTCCGTTGCAAATACGACGAACGAGGCGAGTACTTGAGAGCCTGATGGCTAATGATTCTGATGAGTCTAATGATGGCTAAAGATGAAGTGGTGTGGAGGCTGGCCTTACCTAAGGACGATGATCTTGACACTGGGGCCGGGGATGCCCTTGAATATGCTGGAGGCATTGAGATGACAGCGTCCGTAGATGACGTTCCCGTTGACCTGTCATGGAGGGATAACGGCAGTTAGAACAGAATAATGACGTTCCTGTTGAGCAAAGGATGGACAGAACAGGGATTCAAAACAGAATAAAACACCAATTATAACTACAATATATCAATCTTCCTGTTACCTTTCCTTCTCTCTCTCTCTCTCTCTCTCTCTCTCTCTCTCTCTCTCTCCCCCCTGACCTTTGCCTCTGTTTCTCCTCGTGTATATTTCTATTCATCGCAATATTTTAATGATGTATCCTACTTATGGAGTAGATATACTTATACAGTAATTACTTATACAGTAATTATCCTAATTATACAGTAGATATATTAGAATTAGAAAATGCATTCGTAACCCCTTATATGAATGAGTACAACACTGACCGGACTAAACAGGCCATATAGCAGTCTAAATCAACATTACATTTTTGACATTGAGTAACATTTAGCTTTCAATTTTCAAGTTGATATATAATTAATAATAAAATGAAGCATTTTGTCAAGGTCAGTCAGCTTGAGTATATATATATGTTAGGCTTATATCGAGGCCCTTCAACGTCTAACTGCTGCACCCCCCCCCCCCTCCTCAGGATGCAATCTTGAATAATCTTGAGGTTATCTTGCGATGTTTTCGGGGCTTTTGTTACATACCCTCAGGAAGCAGCCCGTAGCAGCTGCAACTCCTAGGTACATATTTACTGCTAGGTGAACAGGGGCATCAGGGTGAAAGAAACTGCCCATTTGTTTTCGCCTCCACCGGGGACCGAACCCGGAACCTCAGGACTACGAATCCCGAGAGCTGTCCACTCAGCCGTCAGGCCCCTACCTGTAACCCCACAATAGTTGCCTAACTCCCGGGTACATACTTGCTGCTAAGTGAACAGAGCCATAAGGTGAAAGGAAACGTGCCCAACTATTTCTGTCTAGCACGGGATTCGAACCCCGGGTTTCCGATCGTGAATCTAGAAGGAACCCAAGTCTAGTTTACCATTAGAGCGGAGAACATAAGTGCCACAATTTATATCACTAAATTATGGTAAGTTAAAAGGAAATTAATTATAACTATTGAATAATTAATAATAATTGAATAACTTCATAACTTTTTCCAGAGTGGGTTGACTGTGGTTGTATATGTCGCCGTTATTGTTTGTGCTGAGGCGAGAAACAAGATAACCAAACCTAAATGTCCCCTAGAACGTGTATAGCAGATATATGTACTATATTAGGCCTATAACAGGTTGGGTTGCATTGTTACTGTTTCTTTACGGTAATTCCTTGCTGAGGAATGTGGCCAGTCTCGCTTCATGCAGGTCGGCGTTCAATCCCCGACCACCCTAGTGGCTGGGCATCATTCTTCCACCCCCCCCCCGTCCCATCCCATATCCTTATCCTGACCCCTTTCAAGCGCTATATAGTCGTAATGGCTTGGCGCTTTCCCCTGATAGTTCCCTTCCCTCAACTGTTTCTTTAGCGCGCCATCTGGAGTATTTCAATAGAAAAACGCGAACTGTGTGTGTGTACAACAGTTCATTTGTGCACTTTCCCCAAATAATCCTTGTAAGTACTATCATTTTGGGAGAATGGGTTGCACTTTTTGGAAGAACAAATATCCATATCTACGGAACGCAACATGCCACCCAAGATCCTCTGAAATATTTGATATCACCCTACGTTCCGCAAGAATACTTGATATTACCCTACAAGAGCAAGAATGACCCATTTTCTCTAGTGCCTGATGCCATAATTCCGTCCATTTTCTTTGGCGCCAGCGTGAGACCTGATTCCAACCGCCCAGTCCAGCGCGGTGGAATGTCAACACTGTAGATGCTTACAATGGAGTTGACCCTTGAAATAACTAACATATCCTATAAAACAAACAGGAGTCGGCAGCCGCTATGGTGTCGTGCAAGGGAAGAGTAGAAGGAAATTCCTATATCATAATTCCTGTAATTTTGATAATATTAGATGCTATGCCAATCATATCTACATTTCCCAAAAATACATGTAGGCGCACCAGATGAAATCTAATTCTGGACAAACGAAGGTGTTAGATAAGCGAGACTGGATAACAACTGTCACTCTTAAGCTAATAGAGTCCTTAGAGAGAAAGCAAGAGAAAGAGGGAGAGATAGAGAGAAAACGAGAGAGAGACAGAAAGGGAGGGAGATAGAAAGACAGAAAGGGAGGGAGATAGAGAGACAGAAAGGGAGGGAGATAGAGAGACAGAAAGGGAGGGAGATAGAAAGACAGAAAGGGAGGGAGATAGAGAGACAGAAAGGGAGGGAGATAGAGAGACAGAAAGGGAGGGAGATAGAGAGACAGAAAGGGAGGGAGATAGAGAGACAGAAAGGGAGGGAGAGAGAGAAAGTAAGAGTGTGAGCGCGAGAAAGGTAACAAAAAGTAAAGTGAGGGTTGAAGGGTAAGACATAAAGGAGGGCAATTCGGTGGTCCCAGCCCCGAGTAACGGCCCCAACAGCAAGCCTCTTTCACCGTTACCCGCACTTGATTGAAAGGCCAATTGTCAATTTGTGTAATTAGAAGGTAGAATGGGTGCGTTGTGATGGGAAGTGAAGGTAGGAGGAATGGGGTGGAGGGGAGCAGGGAGGAAAGAGGGGGGAGGAGGGGGAATGGGGCAGTGGGGAGGAGGAATAGAGCAGTGGGGAGGAGGAATAGGGTAGTGGGAAGGAAGAATATGGCAATGGGGAGGAAAAATATGGTCGTGGGGAGGAGAACCTCCCCACGTCCCTATTTAGTCTCCGTGGTGTAGTGGTAAGACACTCGCCTGGCGTTCCGCGAGCGCTATGTCATGGGTTCGTATCCTGGCCGGGGAGGATTTACTGGGCGCAATTCCTTAACTGTAGCCTCTGTTTAACACAACAGTAAAATGTGTACTTGGATGAAAAAACGATTCTTCGCGGCAGGGGATCGTATTCCAGGGACCATAGGATTAAGGACTTGCCCGAAACGCTACGCGTACTAGTGGCTGTACAAGAATGTAACAACTCTTGTATATATCTCAAAAAAAAAACAATGGAAGAAAGAAGGCAGAAAAGTGGTATAGGAAAGGAAGGTGATAGGGAGGGAAACAAAATTTAAATAAATTAATATCTCCATATTCTAGAACGCAGGCGGGAGAGATACATAATAATTTACACGTGGAAAATAGTAGAGGGGCTGGTCCCAAACCTGCACACAGAAATAACACCACATGAGACCAGGAGGCATGGCAGGATGTGCAGAATACCCCCGTTGAAGAGCAGAGGTGCAACAGGTACTCTGAGAGAGAACTATCAACATCAGAGGCCCGAGACTGTTCAACACGCTTCCACTACACATAAGGGGCATAACTGGCCGACCCCTCACAGTGTTCAAGAGAGAACTATCAACATCAGAGGCCCGAGACTGTTCAACACGCTTCCACTACACATAAGGGGCATAACTGGCCGACCCCTCACAGTGTTCAAGAGAGAACTATCAACATCAGAGGCCCGAGACTGTTCAACACGCTTCCACTACACATAAGGGGCATAACTGGCCGACCCCTCACAGTGTTCGAGAACTATCAACATCAGAGGCCAGAGACTGTTCAACACGCTTCCACTACACATAAGGGGCATAACTGGCCGACCCCTCAGTGTTCAAGAGAGAACTATCAACATCAGAGGCCCGAGACTGTTCAACACGCTTCCACTACACATAAGGGACATAACTGGCCGACCCCTCACAGTGTTCAAGAGAGAACTATCAACATCAGAGGCCAGAGACTGTTCAACACGCTTCCACTACACATAAGGGACATAACTGGCCGACCCCTCACAGTGTTCAAGAGAGAACTATCAACATCAGAGGCCAGAGACAGTTCAACACGCTTCCACTACACATAAGGGACATAACTGGCCGACCCCTCAGTGTTCAAGAGAGAACTCTATAAACACCTCCAAAGGATACCTGATCAACCAGGATGTGATTCATACGTAAGAATGTGAGCAGCTGACTTAAACAGCCTGGTTGGTCAGAGCACCGACCAAGAAGCTTGGTCAGAGACCGGGCGGAGGAGGCATATTGATCCTGGACACCATCTTCAGGTAACCTCAAGGTAAAGTAACACGGTAAAGTGAGAACAAGTACTTAGGAACATCAATAACTAGTGACCCATTGTTAAACTAAAAATAATCCCTATCTCGGAGCCTCACCACCCAGCCCCATTCACAGCCTGACCCGCAGCCTAGTATTCAAGCCCAGTGTCCAGAATGGGTAGTGATGTAATAGGGAAATGGGAGAGAAAAGAGAGAGAGAGAGAGAGAGAGAGAGAGAGAGAGAGAGAGAGAGAGAGAGAGAGAGAGAGAGAGAGAGAGAGAGAGAGAGAGAGAGAGAGAGAGAGGGAGAGGAGAGGGAGGAGAGAGAGAGAGAGAGGGAGGGAGAGAGAGAGAGAGAGAGAGGGGGGGGGGAGTAGAAGCGTGAAATGAGGAGAGGGATGAAGCGTATGACAAGAAGAAAGTTAAACAACACAGAGGAAGAGGCTAGAGATGTAAGAGAGGAAACAGGAAGGATGAAGGGAAGGAAGAGGGAAAAGGAGTATGAAAGGAAAGTTAAACGTTGAGGAGAAAGATGCCGCCACCATTCACTATATTTAAGACTTTGTGGAACTATCAAACTCCTTGCCTCCATGTAAGGCTAACATCAGACTCACGAATTACTCTAGTAAGCCAGTAATATTCAGCCATAACCAGCATATATATATATATATATATATATATATATATATATATATATATATATATATATATATATATATATATATATATATATATATATATAAGCTACTCCCTTCACTCGAAGACACCACATTACATCATAATTACCCCATTGTATAAACACCATTAATAGTTGACATTTATCAATCATTTATTTACTTTACATATATCAAACATAAATCAAAGATATCAAACGAACTGAGTCACTGAAAAGAACCGAGCACTGTACGACCCAAGCTCGATCCCCGACACTTAAAAAACATTAAATGGAACCCACAGGATACTAGCCAAACTTGCGACACGACTCGTCCAAGGACTAACAGCGAGACGACTAGAGGAGTGTACTCTCCAGCCCTATAGAGCCTAGGGGAAGCCAAAGAACCGCCTGCTCTAAATTCAGACAGTCCTTGGTCGTGACTCTGAATCCCAGTGTCAGATTCACGAATCTCAATCCTCTATGTATCTGGAGGGGGAGAGAGAGAGGGCTTTTGGTCCACCTACTACATGTATCCTCGACTACTGTGCACGTGTCCAGCATGAGAAAGGAGAGGGGGGGGGGCGGAGGTGCTTCCATGACGGTGAGATAACATAACTCAAGATAACTTCAAGAAGATTATCTTGAGGTTATCTTGAGATGATTTCGGGGGCTTAGCGTCCCCGCGGCCCGGTACTCGACTAGGCCTCCTTTTTGTTACACACCCTTAGGAAGCAGCCCGTAGCAGCTGTCTAACTCCTAGGTACCTATTTACTGCTAGGTGAACAGGTGCACCAGGGTGAAAGAAACTGCCTATTTGTTTCCGCCTCCACCGGGGAGGCTTCCATAAGCCGCACTAAGCCCAACCCGTCCTCTTACAAAATAACGTCGCTACACAGAAATCACAATTGCGTGATGCATCAAGTGAACAAATCCACAAGGGCCGTGACGAGGATTCGAACCTCGTCAACTCCTCAAATGGTTCGAATCGTCGTCACGGCCCTTGTGGATTTGTTCATAACGTCATATCTTGAGCGTTATCTTGAGATGATTTCGGGGCTTTAGTGTCCCCACGGCCCGGTCCTTGACCAGACCTCCACCCCCAGGAAGCAGCCCGTGACAGCTGACTAACACCCAGGTACCTATTTTACTGCTAGGTAACAGGGGGCATAGGGTGAAAGAAACTCTGCCCAATATTTCTCGCCGGCGCCTGGGATCGAACCCAGGACCACAGGATCACAAGTCCAGCGTGCTGTCCGCTCGGCCGACCGGCTCCCGGTAGGTTAGGAGGGCAGCAGGTTCTCCTAAGGTTTCAAAACGTCATGAAAACCATTAAAGTGTTCTCTCCTAACCTAACAGACTAAGCCAGAGGACCCAAAACAGAAAACGGGACAGTACGTTTAACGTGGTGGAGGCGGGATCCCATGATTGTTTCAAGCGTGGGTTGGACATGTATATGAGTGGGATTGGGTGGTTATAAATAGGAGCTGCCTCGTATGGGCCAATAGGCCTTCTGCAGTTACCTTTGTTCTTATGTTCTTACGTTCTTATGTCACTTTCGCGAGCCGCTTCCATGTTCTAGTACGTCAATTTTTGGCCGTAGCGCGCATTCGAGCGAAAAGCGACGCTATTGGTAAGAGGACGAGTTGGCCAATTATGGGATGAACGTAAAATAATGATCAGGTGGAAGGTCATTAAGTATTGACCGCGTCACCAGATACGTCGAGGAGAGCCAGACAAAATGCGACATCATGTCACCAGATACGTCGAGGAGAGCCAGACATAATGCGACATCATGTCACCAGATACGTCGAGGAGAGCCAGACATAATGCGACATCATGTCACCAGATACGTCGAGGAGAGCCAGACATAATGCGACATCATGTCACCAGATACGTCGAGGAGAGCCAGACATAATGCGACATCATGTCACCAGATACGTCGAGGAGAGCCAGACATAATGCGACATCATGTCACCAGATACGTCGAGGAGAGCCAGACATAATGCGACATCATGTCGCCAGACTAGAGTCGCTGACTTCAGCTCTCTATAATGAATAACTAAGTCCCATATGGCGTTACACCAGCCTGCTGACATCCTGGACCTTGTTGTTGACAACGTCACCATCCCAGTGTCCAGATTCACGAAGCAGTTACGCAAGCACTTACGAACCTGTACATCTTTTCTCAATCTTTGACGGCTTTGTTTACAATTGTTAAACAGTTCATGAGCTCCGAAGCACCAGGAGGCTGTTTATAACAATAACAACAGTTGATTGGCAAGTTTTCATGCTTGTAAGCTGTTTAATAAATGTAACCAAAGCTGTCAAAAATTGAGAAAAAAGATGTACACGTTCGTAAGTGCTTGTGTAACTGCTTCGTAAATCTGGCCCCAGACTGCCTACCCTCAGCCATCAACTGACATTGATGGTTTGATCACCACCATGCTAAGGTACAAGAAATGTATATGTTCACCACTCAGAATGTTCGGTAATATGTTAATTGTTTGTGATGCGTCTTTATTATATATATATATATATATATATATATATATATATATATATATATATATATATATATATATATATATATATATATATATGAACACGTACTGAACGGAGTGAGAATAGGTTGAGCTACCTCATCCCTTTGTGAGTATTTTACCACAATAAACTTATTTCAATTTCAATCCTAAGTTACAGCTCCTCACATCAGTCACATTGGACTTGGAAGCACTTGGACAAGCCAGCACTTGGAAGGGGTCAGGATAAAGGTATGGGATGGGGACGGGGGGAAAGGAATGGTGTCCAACCACTTGGACGATCGAGGATTAAACTCCGACTCACCTCCAGGACCTCGTCGCCGACCTTGATGCGGCCATCCTTGAAGGCATTCCCGCTGGGGTTGAGGCCGCAGACGAAGGCAGACATGAGGGTGCGGTCCCTGTTGCCGGCCAGGGAGATCCCCAGCCCATTGGCTCCCTTCTGCAGGTCCACCAGGATCACCTCGCCCTTCAGCTCCCCGTACTTCTTCTGGATCTTCTCTGGAAATGAGAGAGAGAGAGAGAGTGGGTAAACAAAAATATTTTGGCAATATAAAATGTATTTATCTGGGAAGATAATCAATACGCAGTTATTCCTGCGGGCCGCTCCAAGCAACAGCCTGGTGGACCAAACTCATACATGTCAAGCCTGGCCTCGGGCCGGGCTTGGGGAGTAGAAGAACTCCCAGAACCCTGGGGGCCAGTACCACCATCCCTGGGGGCCAGTACACCATCCCTGGGGGCCAGAACACCACCCCTAGGGGCCAGTACCACCATCCCTGGGGGCCAGTACTCCATACTTCCCGTCAACACCACACAACAAATTGTACTGCAGTTTCATCCGGCGTCATCCACTCTTGTGCAACATTCAAATTTCCATAAATCTACAATTTTATGCAACATTTCAGACAAGAGATGCCAGCGACATGATGATACATTTTAATACTCTAGTGCTCTCTAGGGCTAAACACTGTTGCACACTAACAGCCAAATTCGAAGCTGGATAAATTGCTGACCTGGAGAGCGTGCAAAGGTCTCTCACTGCTAGAATTTACTCATTGAAACATGTAAATTATTGGAACAAATTAAAAAATTTTGTAATCTGTATTCTCTGGAACGCAGACGGGAGACATACATAATACAGTACACTTGTAACATATTAGCTGGACTGGTTTCAAATCTGCCCGAGCGTCCAAGTGGTTGGGCACCATTCCATCCCTCCGTCCCATCCCAAATCCTTATCCTGACCCCTTCCCAATGTTATATAGTCGTAATGGCTTGGCGCTTTCTTCTGATAATTCCCATCCCCTGGTTCTAAACTGGCAGACGGAAACAGCATCACACGAGACCCGGCAACACACGTGGTGCCTTTTGGGCCACATTTCTTCACGACATCCTGCCACATGCAGATAGAGGGAGGGAGGGATCGCGTCGGGTATACAACACGTATGAAACAAAGTTTCAATGGTCCCAAGACCATTCAATCATTATGATCTTCGTGATTCCAACAGGATTCGAACCTGCGAGGCTAGGGATCAGCCCACTGGCTCCCACAGTACCGATACAACTGGCGCGATCCCAACTTGTGGCAGCATTTCGGGAAGAAATGTTCCCCCCAAAACAGCACCACGAGTGTTGCCGGGTGTTGGTTGTCATGGACCTTATGTGTACGTGAGCTACAGGACCAATCAACACTTAAAATGCCATCGTTGGTGGAGTGGTACCGTACTGTGGTAGCCTCTGGTATTCCCTCGACTTGCAGGTTCGAATCCTGGTGGTGCCATACTGTGGAGTTGATAAAAATATAAATATAATTTTTGTTTTTGTTCGAAACTAGGATAAACTTTTGCAAAGTGGAATCTGTGATAATTTCTCAGTATAATATTCCTACTATATCTGTATATATGGAGTACAGTTGGCATCTGTCTTGAGTTTAAGTTTCACTGTAAACAATTCAGGAGTACAGGAGATTCAGGAGTACATGAGTATATTGTATGGTTACAATCAATTACATTAGACAGTATACATGTTTCAATTCACGAATTTGTAAATCAAAGACGGCCGTCAGTGTATTATTTTATAAGGTGGCGCGGGCCACGAACACCACGCAACACCACTCCTGTGCCAGGAAAGTACACTTCGGGCTCACCATAGCCCGTGCTACTTGGAACTTGTTCCGAGTAGCTGAATCTGTAACAACAACAACAACGGCCGTCAGTGTACATTCTTGACCTTGCCTGAGGCTCGCAGCGTCTTGTACAATATAATAATTGACTTCGCCAAGAGTCTAGCCATTGGCATAACTTAATCTCAGTTCCATAATAAATATATAAATAAGTCAAAGGAAGCCAGGAACTACCATCACTAGTTACGGAACGCATAGACATTATTTTGTGTTAGGTAATAATAATAAAGTTGCCCGAAACGCTATGCGTGCTAGTGGCTTTACAAGAATGTTAATTCAACTTATTTTCTATATTCTCTGTTAACCCCTAATGTAACTTCTTGTATATAAATAAATAAATAAAACTAAACACTGGTTTAAATGTCAAGTTTTTCTGCGTCTGATATGAGATCACTCCTTTATGTATATTAAAAAATACTAGATTCTTATTTCAATTCCCCTGGGGCTCTAGGAGACTCGAACCCTGGACTCAAGGGGCGCGAGGCCGAAGCTCTATCAACCGAGCTATTGAGTAGTGAATAAATCCACACGGGCCGTGACGAGGATTCGAACCTACGTCCGAGAGCATCCCAGACGCTGCGTTAATCGACTGAGCTACGACATGGTCAAAAGAATTGAAACCAGAAGTTCTACTGAACTTACTTGGATCCTGCTTGAGTAATCTTAATAAGGAATGTTTATCCCCACGAAAGTGTGGATAACAATCTAGATTCTCACATGTTAAAGGCCAGCCGGAGCAGGCCACGTGAGCAGCTTCAAGACAACTGATGGTTGAAACTGCTTAAAGTTTATTAGTGGTGGGCTACCGAGCAGCACTTGAAATAAAAAGTGTCATTTCTGTGGTGAGAGCACAGGGCCTCAGAGTTGAGAGACCGTTTACTGTAGCCAGTTTAAGTCAGTGTCTGCGTGTTATGGGTCGTGCGGCTCTCAGGTCATTGGTCGCGAGTCTGTCTTCAGCCTCACGAAATTCTCTGGGATCACGGATTTTATGCTTGTAAAAAAAAAATGATTACTGTCACCTCTCAGTTTCCTGGATCCTTTTCCATATAATCTTTTATCTTTTCCACCTCTTCCTCCTCCTCCTCCATTTCCCTTCTCACTGTTTATATTATTCTACCATTTCTTCCATCTGCCTTATACCCTTACTAATTCGTTGTTTATGTTCATAATTCATCCTTTTTTTCTGAAATGTATTCTTTAATCGGTTTTATTCCTCATTCTCTCGTTCTACACCACTTCCTCTCTCCTCGTTAATTCCGCCGCTTATAGCTTTCTCTTCATTAGTTCTTCTCTTCTCCTTCCATCTACGTCAGTTCTTTTCCTCTATACTTTAGCCCTATTCTTCTTCAATCTTCCTTTTGCCTTATCTTCCAATCCCTTGTTCCTCCCTTAGCCATGATTCCTCATTTCCTCATTCTCTTCCCAAATTACTCACTTTCAAATCTCCTTCCCTTTGTCTTTCACCCTTCATCATCTCCCCCTTGATCTCCTGCTCCTCTTTCTCCTCCTCCTCCTCCTCCTCCTGCTGCTCCTCATAATTCGGCTAGTCAGCTGCACACGAGGTGGGTCCAGTTAATTTTTATGAGTTAAAAAACTGCAGCTTCAATGCCCCCCCTCACACACACCCGCCTCACATTCTGATGGACCCCAAAAAATTATTCCCGAATTCCAACGCCGGAGTTAAATCTTTCTTTTTACTGGGAGTCAGAGCTGGAATTCTTGGTGAAATATCCCTGTTTTATGTGGACGGGAAGCTTTGTCAGAGATTGGAGAGGGAGAGAGGAATAGGAAGGAACGGAGGGGAGGGAGGGAGTTTGGTAGGTAGGGTGGGAGGAAGGGGAAGGAAGGGAGGGACGAAGGGAGAGGGGGGATGGGAGGAAGAGGGAGAAAGGGAGAGGGGGAAAAGGGAGGGAGGAGGAGGAGGAGGAGAGAGAGAGAGAGAGAGAGAGAGAGAGAGAGAGAGAGAGAGAGAGAGAGAGAGAGAGAGAGAGAGAAACATATAATGAACAACTTCGTGCACACATTCAAGACTCTTACACCATCACTACCACTACTATCCTCTGTACAACCACCATCCCCATACAAACCATCACTATCACCACCGGGTTCGATCCCCGCAGCAGGACAGGAACGTTTCTCTCTAACGGCAGACTTGTGGTTTCAAACGGAATATTTCCGTTTTTAATGACAAAAAACATGAAATATTTCAAGTAGAAAAGACAATACACAAAAGAGCCGCAAAAGGCAAGAGGAAACAAAAGAGCGGGTGCGACACACGCCACAACCCTCACAACAATGCCATACAACAAAATAATAACCCCGAGTAAAGCGGAGACCAAAGAGAACACCCGAGGTGAACACACCCGCAAAAGCTGACTTTTGAAAATGTGAAACATTAAATGTAAACAAAGGCAGCCCAACCATTACAGAAAACGGAGACAGACGACATACTATAAAAGAAACCGTTGCTATTAGGTAACTTTCATGGATAACTTTAATAAATTACGAGCCTTCTGCTTACCCCTTCTTCTAGGGGTAAGCACTCTCTCACACTAGAACCGAACACAAGCTATTACAGCTCTAATATGAATCGATAATAAGAATCAATTTGATTACCCTCACACAGCCGTTTGAGAGAGGAATGATTGGGCGCTAGTCGCTAGCTATTCGCCCCTTTTCACCCAGCAGTAATTGGGTACCTGGTTTTTAACCGACTGGCGAGTCGTGTCCCAGGGAAAGCTAGTATAAGGTTTACCATGAGCTATAGGGAGAGAAAGCTCTCGTCCTGTTAACACGAGTGAGAAGGAGTCTATTCCTGTACCCACCTGTGTGTGTGTGTGTGTGTGTGTGTGTGTGTGTGTGTGTGTGTGTGTGTGTGTGTGTGTGTGTGTGTGTGTGTGCGTGCGTGCGTGCGTGCGTGCGTGCGTGCGTGCGTGCGTGTGCGTGCGTGTCCGTCCTGGGGCCCGAGAACCAGACCAAACGCTCACACAACCCCACTTCTAAACTTTAAAATAACGCTCACGCTTCTTAAAAAGTTTCCTAAAACTGTAAAAGGATGTAAGACGTTCCATCCAACATTTCTCCACAGCAGAAATAGAAGGAAGGAAATAGAAGATAAATATGACGACGGAGATAATAAAGCATCGCTAGAGAGATTAATAATCAATGAAATAAAATGGAACTCCATTTAAATTCAGTAGTATTTCAGGTTATGGACTTTGAGGCTAATAATAGTCTACTTGGTAGTACATGTGTCTGGGCAGTCCAGAAATGCAGGTTCGATCCCAATGTATGACCTTAATATTTTCTCATAGATGTTTAATGATATTAATAGACAAAATCTGGTGTGTGTGTGTGTACTGACA